AGAAGAAGAAGAAGAAGAAGAAGAAGAAGAAGAAGAAGAAGAAGAAGAAGAAGAAGAAGAAGAAGAAGAAGAAGAAGAAGAAGAAATAATAATGGAGACACAGATATGGGAAGGTTGAGGCAGAGAGGAGCTAAAGAAAACCAACTCTGTGGTTAAAACTCTGCTTGTGTAATGGATATAATCTATAGTTCACCCAACAATTGTAGATCAAAGCAAGCTAAAATTAAAAAAAGAATCGTATTCCATGGTTTATGGATATAATTAAGGGCTATCCCACCCTTTCTTCCATAGTTGAAAACTTTCTTAACATTGTCTCATAAAAGCAATATTAGGATTCCTTTTTTCTCCCTTCTCCAGAAAGAAATTGGCAATTGATCGTTTTGTTTGAATGAGAAAAAAGGAGGGCAGTGAAATAAATAATAAAGAGCGTTTATTCATTTTCAGGGACCAAATGGAGAAAAAGGAGAAAGGGGAGAAATTGGGCGTCCAGGTCTTCAGGTAACCCTTGGTCTATGCTGGTCTCGAATGGAGTTACTGCAACTACTAAGTCATTAGATATTTCAGAGCTATATTGTTGTTATTTATTTATTAAATTTATATACCACCCATCCCCACTATTTAGAGTAACTCTGGGTGGCTTTCAAAGCAATACAAATCATAGTATAAAAGTTATAAATATAGGAACAGTTACAATTGCAAGAATTAAATTGACAAAAATCATGGCCCAGGGATGGTGCTTTGTTCTGTCATTGCACCAGCTACCTCCATCCTAAGCATCTCGTATCCAGACTCATGGTGGCGCAGCAGCTAGAGTGCAGTACTGCAGGCTAGCTGCTTGCAATTTGGCAGTTCAAATCTCATCAATCAATGACTCAGCCTTCCATCCTTCCGAGGTAGGTAAAATGAGGAGCCAAATTGTTAGGAGCAATAGGCTGACTCTGTAAGCTGCTTAGAGGGGGCTGTAAAGCCCTGTGAAGCGGTATATAAGTCTAAGTGCTATTGCTATTAAGTTCCTTCCAGAAGCCAGGAGAGTGGGGACAGACCGCACCTCTGGGGGCAGGATGTCTCAAAGGATGGAGGGACACAGCAGAAAGGACTCTCCTCCTATACCCCACTAGCCAAATTTCCTTGGCTCATGGGGTCTGCTGTTGGTCTCTTCCACCCGAACATGTGGGGTGAGCCAATCCCATTGGGCAGGACAATTCCTAAGATATCCTGGACCCATGCCACAAAGGGCTTTAAATGTGATAACCAGCACCTTTAATTGGATCCGGAAGCAGAACAGCAACCAGTGCAACTTGTGTAACAGTGGTGTTATATGTGCTACCCTAAGAAGCTCTAGAAGCATGATGGGGAAACGATGGCACAAGTGCCACAGGTAGCATGCAGAGACCTCTCTACAGGCATGCAAGCCGTCGCCCCAGCTCAGCTCCACTGTGCATGCACGCGCGTGCCTCCCCTGGCCAGCTGATTTTTGGGTCTTTTCCCCACATGCATGGGGGCGGGGTACATGCAGGAGACAAGCATGGGGGCCATGCGCACATGTGTGGGGGACGCATGTGCATGCACAGGGTGTGTGGCACAGCCTCCTGTGGCCCATTTTTGCTCCCAGGAGGCTGCAGGGAGGCCTAATGAAGTACAGTGGGTTTTGCACACACATGTGTGGGGGGTGCGGGGAGCGCGGGTGGGTTGCGTGCACATGCATGGGGGGTGGGGCACATGGGGGGTAAATTTATGTGTTCTTTTTAGAAATATGGATAAGTAAATTTACATTATTACTGTTGCTGTAATAGCAGAAATGTATATCTAAGTGTATAATTTGGCTCTTTTTTCGGGGGCGTCTTCAGGGTATTCCAGGACCAACGGGGTCACCAGGACGAGATGGAAGCCAAGGTCCAAGGGTAATATGAAATAATTAATAGTAACCATCCAGCTCTGCTCCTCCAAGACTTAATTTGACATACTGTAAACTGCTCTCACTAGGACAAGTTCACATTCTATGTTTCAATGCTATACCCATATGATCAAAACACAATTCCTGTGTTAAGTCCATACAAGACCCAAAGAAAGAAACCTTGCTATCATTTAGCAAGACAACATCAGTTCAGACAACTTCCTAGTGGTTGGATTCTCACAACCTGTTGAATTCCAAAACACCAAAGTCTACTTTAGCTTAATCTAGCATGTTGTACAATCCTAGAGACCAGGGGTGAAATCCAGCAGGTTCTGACAAGTTCTGGAGAACCGGTAGTGGAAATTTTGAGTAGTTCGGAGAACTGGCAAATACCACCTACGGCTTGCCCCAGAATGGCGTGGGAATTGAGATTTTGCAGTATCCTTTCCCTGCCATACCCACCAAGCCATGCTCACAGAACCGGTAATAAAATAAATGAATTCCACCACTGCTAGAGACCCCCTATCCTTCCCTACCAGCTGAAAATTTTGATTTAGTTCTGTGGTCTTAGATGCTTCACAGTTAATCTTGGTGAGGGAAGTTCCCAGGATGGCTGACAGATGTTGATTCTTCGGGCAAAGGCTGAGAATAAAAACCATTCTCAGTTCTCCTTAAGGAGACCGGCAAAGAACCGCTACAAATGTCAACTCAATTTCCCAAAATTTATTTACAGTAAGAGATTTGGCTGCAAAAGGCTAATTTTGGTTGAGATTACTCAATTGGAGTGCACAGTCATTCTTTTGCAGGCTGCTTTTTATTTTTTCATGTCTGAGATGGAGGTACTGTACTTTCCAGATGTTTGGAATATAGAGGCTGGAAAAAGGGATCACTATCTCTTCCTCCTGCTGAAGCAAAGTCCCAATGTTTTTCCTCCCACTCCAGCAAATATTTTGAAATGAATTCCTGTCTTTCTTTGTCTACACACTATCTGGTGCTGCCTGGAGAAAATTACTCCACTCCATCGATGGCTTGTTTGTGTCAGTTCATGGTATTGTTGTTGAGGCCTCATCCATCCTTAGCAGGGTGCGAATGCTATTATCAAACTGAATGGAGCTTTTATCTGTATAGACATGAATAGAGTTGCCTCTATAAATATTTACTCCGAAGGAAGATTCGCTTTGGTCTAAATATATAACAGTCTTCTTCAACTTTATGTTATCCAGATGTCTGGGAATACAATTTTAGGCCTGTCAGTCAGTGTGTACATACTTGTGGTGCCCCACACATTTTCTCAATGAGCTTTGTGTTTTACTCTTAGGGTTTATTTTTTATAATTGACATCTTTATTTTCTTCATATATTGATTTGATTGATTTGATTTGATTTGATTTATTTAATTTGTATGCCGCCCACTCTCAAAGAGACTCAGGGCGGCTTACAATAAGAAAAGGGGGGAGGGAGGGACATACAAAAAAAAACTACATTAAAAAACACAACATTCACAACTGAGGGTGGGGCTGGACAATTCAACAGCCCCAGGCCTGCCGGAACAGCCAGGTCTTGGTCGGTTTGCGGAAGGCCGGAAGGGTAGTGAGGGTCTGGATCTCAATGGGGAGATCGCTCCAGAGGGCTGGAGCAGCAACAGAGAAGGCCCTCCCCCGGGGAGTCGCCAGCCGACATTGACCGGCAGATGGAATCTGGAGGAGGCCTAATCTGTGCAATCTTATAGGCCTTAGGGAGGTAATTGGCAGGAGGCGGTCTCTCAAGTAGGAATTGCGTAGCAGCTGTCCAGATGAAGTCAGAGACACTAGCACAAACTTGTAGTCTTTTATACACAGGTTGTCCTCGTTTTACCACAATTGAGCCCAAAATTTCTGTCGTTAAGTGAGCCATTTGATAAGTGAGTCTTGCCATAGTTGTTAAGTGAATCGCTGCAGTTGATAAGTTAGTAATCCGGCTGTTAAGTGAATCTGGCTTCTCCCATTGATTTTGCTTGCCAAAAGGTTGCAAAAGGGATACGGGAGGTCACATGACCTTGAGACATAGCAACGGTCATAAGTGTGAACCAGTTGCCAGGCATCTGATT